TGGCGCGAGTCGGTACCAGACATGATGGCTGCCAAGAAGAAATCGATGTTAGTTCGTTAAGAATGAATTATATGTGCACGTGAACACAAATGTGATGACAAAAACCATGCGGCCTAAAAGGACAACCTACCCGGGCTCAGGCCGGCCTACACGAGCTTCTCCTCGGCCAAGTAGTCCGAATAAAGGAACCCTATCGATGCCCAGGACAGCATCGTTTTCCGAGTTCTGGGGTCCAGCTCGGCCTCGGGGTCCTGGATGGCGCCCCTCCAAGAAGTTGGGAAGGGCCACTCCTCGGGGTTACGAACCATAAAGTAATCCCGCTTCTAGGCGAGAATCTTATTCGGCAGCTCATGCAAGAGCTTATAGCCGCGGCGGGGGGAGAGGTAGTAAAAGCGCCTCTTCGGTGGAACCCCGGGAGTGACATTTTTTATACAAAGAATAGAAGCAAAAATATCAAGGTTCAAGGGAAGACAATACTCATGACACAAAGATATAGTCCCAACCATGTTCCGAATGGTGTTGGGATGAAGCTGGTCAATAGTGACATTGAAGTGGTTTAGCACCTCCACTATCAGGGGGTACAGAGGGAGACGTAGGCCAGCCTCGAGCTGTTCCTGGTAAATGACTATGTCATTGGGTCCATGCTCCCACGGAAAGTTACAAGTGGGGAGGCAGTAGAGGAGGTCCCTAGGGAGGTGGAAGTAGCTAATTAGAGCCCTAAGTCTCCCCTCTGTCATGGAGGAAGGGCCGAAAGTACCGGGCTCCCTTCCCCGTGAAGTGAAAGCTCCTTCTCCGGAGAACTCCCTAGCCCCCGGAACCTGTTCCCAAGCTTTCCCCGAGCTCGAGGGAGTATCATCATCTTGGTCACCGCCGTGGTGACGGACATGGTATGGGTATCCCGACATGACTGACAGTAAGCGAGACTCACCGAAAGGAGACGGGGTGAAATAAGTTGAGGAACTCGGGTAGGCTTGACAGGTGCGCGAACTCAGAATCCAAAGACAGCAAGCTGAAGTGGGGGGGAAACGAGGCCCAAAGGGCCCCCCTATTTATAGCCCTAGTGTCTCCGAAGCGACGGCCCAGATCTAAGCAGATCCAACGGCTCGCAGGCGCGTTGACCGTACGTCTTTCGAAAATGGAGAGTGATTGGCGGTTCCCCAAAGCGATGGCCCAGATCTGAGCAGATCCAATGGCTCGCAGGCGCGCTAACCGCACGCTTGTTGAAAACCAAAGGCAATTGGCAGCACGTTTTTCGTGATTAAGGCAATGACGGCTGCACAACGCTCGAAATTAAAAGCCACTTCTGCACGTTGTGGGAATCCGAAAAGTCAGAAAATCTCTTGACTCTCGCGGACGCATTTAACGCGAGTTGTTAATCAAGTTTGAATTTCGGTCAAATCAGTCCATCATGCTTCATGAACTCCTTGCGCAAAAGGCAATGCTCTCAGCACAAGGAGTGGGGGCAATTGATGGAGGATGATTTGGCCCGACCTCGTAGCACAGGTACACGTGGGCGTGACCTTGCTCAAACAGTGACTCAGCATGACAGCGCAACGAGCATGAGCACAACTCAGAGGGAAAGTCTCACCGAGTTCGGCACGGAAACTCGACAGGTAAACTACTCGCCGAAAGCCGCCTTGCCCGCACCTCCTCCCCGGGGTTAAGGCACTTCGGGGGGTCTCGAGTTCGGGGCACCCTGACCCCTTTTGAGACCCGAGCTCCTCCCAATGAACCTCGGGCCACTCCCAGGCAAGAATGCACCGATTCTTCTCCAGGCACCCCGAGGCACAGACACCTCGGGTTTGCTAGCTCGGCATAACCGGCTACAGGCGATCCGTCACTCAAAGGACAGCCCGGCTCGGGGTAATTCGCGATAGGGTAGTTCGGTATACCATAGGAGGGCTTCCCGCTCAACCGCCGTACCCGACAAATATGTGGACAGCAGGCGTGTCCCTCTCGCCATGCCTGCCACCTTTAGAAATGTGTCCCGCGCCTGACAGACACGTACCCTGCAACGACGGCCCCGCGCGTGCCACCTCAGCCCTGCTTGTAACGGCTGTGGCAGACTGATAGTGGTGGTTATACCTACCCTGTCAGAAGTCAGAGGGCTTGAAGCAACGAAATTCAGTTATAAGGGGCTCATTCTCAAGGAACAAGGTATCTTCAATCACCTGCGCAACCTACACTCTTAGCTTTCGTTTTCCTTCAGCTTCTTGCACACAATACTAACTTAAGCATCGGTGCGTTCCCGCTGGGAAACCTCCCGGGAGTTCTTCCTCTTTCCTCTCGTTTCAGGTACCTCTCAGGACCCACACGAGCGCCAGATAGGAGTGACCGGATTGCGCTACATCACCTATATTATCCCTATTTGAAATAAGTGCTTTTTCACCAAACACTCATGAGGGCTGAATAGGATAAGGAGTTATCCAATAATCACTTATTTATTTGATAAATAAAGACTCCTAACCATGGGCTAAATGTATAATGGTATCCCCAATTTGATGGCCAATAATATATTTTACATTTTGGCTCAGTTTGAAAGGAGTACAAATGCAAATATGTAGAGTGCAAATGCATTTATACTCCTTCCAAACTGAGCCTTTAGAGTAAAAGTAATACCTACAATTTTAATTTTTATGTGGGTGATTTTGCAATTCTCTTCTAGTAAACATAAACACTTTTTACAAGGGTAGAGCATAGTATATAATTATAGTCAATAGGAGTTCACACCTCCGCCCCAAAATGCCCCCACAGTACATCTCCACACTGTATTGGGAATATCTCCTGATGATGTCATCGGGAGATGTTCACAATGCACAGCGCAGATGTGTTGTGGGGAGGAGATGTGATATCGGTCAATGGCCCAAGAATTCTTTTTAATGTCACAACATTCACTCGAGGCCACAGAGCAGAGCAACAACCCAATAAGAAACAGATATATGCAGTATGTTGCATATAAAGCCTTGATCCCACCACTTTCCATTGTTTGTAAATTGTAACCACAGCTGTTCAAGTGCTCCTCCCATTCTTATTCAATGTGAAGCCTTGAATCCAACTGAACATAGACAAAACCTTTTTTCCCTTTTATTTCCATGACAACATACACTGTTGAGATTAAGATCATCACATTTTAATATTTTATTTTATTTTGTTAATTACAGAAATCTAGTATCTATTTCTATTTCTATTATATAAATAAAAATAGTGGAAATAAATAATTAAATAAAAATAAATAAGATAAATATAAATAAAAGAGATATAGATCAAGTAAGTAACCAAATGGGAAAGGGGAAGGAGCCCAAGTCATTCTGAGCTTCCCCTACAGCCTTTAAATGCCTATTATTTATTTATTTATTTATTATTATTACTCTTTGTTTCCGGTTCCGCTCCTTCTCGTCGTCTGATTCTCATAATTTCAATTGAAGAGGGGGGAAGGAAGGAGAAGCTGAGCAAAATTCAGTCATTCTTTCAAAAACCCAGAATTCCAAGATGAATAGAGAAAAAGCCCTAGTCCACTTTTCCCTTCCTCTATCCTCTTTCTAGAGCGACCCGAGCAAAACCCTAATTTTCCCTCTGTTTGTCTGCTTCGCCATCCTCTGGGTCTCTTTCTCACCGCCATTGGAGCTTCGAGATCTTTGTTCCTCTGTTTCTTTTCTTTCCTATATATTATATAGCTTTGTATTCATTTTTATTTTCTGGTTCAGATTTTATTACTTTTTTGTTTTTTCTTTTTTTTTTCGTGTGGGTTTTTTGGGAAATGGAAGGTAATGCGGGGCCTCCTGCTCCTCGAACAGTTGAAGAGGTTTACAGGGATTTCAGAGGCAGACGCGCTGGGATGATCAAGGCTCTTACTACTGGTTGGTTTCCACTTTCGAAATAGTCTTAAACCCTCCCCCCGCTCTCTCTTTTCCTCAAGTCTTGAAAAAAGAACCTCTTATCTTTGTTTGAACTTTTTGGGTTGTTGCAGAGTTTTATTTTATTTTATTTTTTGTTTTAATTTTGTTCTTCGATTCTGGGTTTGATGATTTTGTTGTGTTCCATTCGTTGTTACAGAAGTGGACAAGTTCTATCAGCAATGTGATCCTGGTGAGCTTTTTTTCTTGATCTCCAAACTGACAAGGTTTTTACTTTGAATATTGGTTACGACGATGATATCGTTTATTTAAATTGGTAGTGAAGTGAACAGCTTACGTTTTCTTAGCTTTATTGTGTTCCAATTCTGTTGAATTTTCTACCCCTTTTTTTGTTTAAGTAATTTGTCGTTTGACTTCTAACTCTGTGTGGTTTTTATCAGATTGGATGAGATGTCTGATGGCTGAACTCTTGGACATTGTGTTCTTTTCCTTGGCAATGCCCCCCGCACTCCTGTTATTTTTCTTTATTTTTCCCCACATTTTATTGTTTGTTTTCTAAAATTTCATCCCATTTTTATATGCAGCTTTTTACAAGTTCACCTGAAAGATACTTGCCCTTCTTTTTTATCTTCTGAAAGAGTGCTTCAGTTCTGATTCTGAAATCAGCATTTGTCAGAAACTCTGGATTCTTTTTTTTTTTTTTTTTCATTCTTCCTGTTATTGTTGTTTCTGTTGCTATTTGTCAACGATATCCTCATTTCTTTGGGAAATAGATGATACTTTTTTTCTTGTGTTGTAAATGTGTCCTATAGGGTTGAATGTACACCTTCCAACTTTATTTTTTTAGTCACTAAGGTTTTTGGTTTAGATTTGAAGGTTGGGATCTTCTGCTTGGTTTGGATATATTGCATATAAAGCAAAGTGGATGGACCTAGGTAATGAATCAGTGTATTGTGAGTTAGATGCGGTCTATGGAGTTTAAAATATGGGAGTTATGGGATATTTCTAGTTAACATTATTGATGGATTTGTTTTATCTGTACACATGTTTGCTTTTCCTTTTTGGTATATATGACATTACTTTGACGTTCCAAATTATCTTCTCAACCTTTCTTTTTCTACATTTGTATCTTTATGTCAATCTTTAATAATGGTTAAGAGTAGTTTCATATGGAGGTATGATGTGGCCAGTGCAGACCATAGATCACATGTTAGTCACATTTTCTGTGCCCATATCATATCAGCTTTACAGCCCATTGTATAATGGGCTTGCTCTCTGGTCCAACATGCCATTGAACTTTTAGTGATTTAGAGAGTTTCTAGAAAGAGTGCTGTCTGTTTCCCTGTGGCAATGGTCCATTTGGCTGAAGCTTGCCATATGAGTGCCCATTTGGGAGGGCCGAAGCGCAGTGGCTTCTGGATTTTTTGAGGTGGACCCCACATGGACAGCCTATAAGTTATGTTTGGTGAAAAATCTTGAGTCAGTCAGTCATTTGAAGGGCTGTCTGCTTCAGCCTCTTTGAGTAGCTTATCTGGAGCGCTTCAAAGCCGCTGGACCAGCTTAGCTGAATCTTCAACTCAGCCTTCCAAGATGACCCTGACTAGAGGGTTAAAAATTTAACGCCAAGGGTCTGTGTTGGATGCCACAGCTTCCATGTGGACCTAATCTCTTGCTATATGATTTGTAATTGTGTCAATTGCATTACTTCTTATCCTTACTTTTTATTTATTGTTATGAATGTGTCAACTAGTCATCAACCCTAATAAACTAACATGTCAGTAGAGGGTCAAGTCGACTGCATTACTAACTAGTTGGTTGGTACAAATGATGCGGTTGCCTAGGGCAACCAAGTGGTGACTAGGTTGACTAGTTGATGACTAGTCATCCTAGTCAATCAGAAGGTTACTTTATAGTTTTTTTTATTTGTATTTCTAATTAATTGAAACAATATAGAATATGTTTGTATTTTGTTATATCCATTGCTTTAATTATTCACAATGGGCATGATTGGGTGATGGTATATGAAAGAGAAAAAAAGGTATAAAACAAAAGCAGGCAATGGAGGAATTCTTTCGAGTTTCCTTCCAATGAGTGATTTGCTGGTACGGAGTTGCCACAAACAAAGGGGACACGAAAGAGTCAAGGCTGCACTCTTTCTTTGAAAAGCAAAGGCTGTAATTCCCTCTTTTAGGATAGCCCTAACTTTTTATGTTTTCAACAAAGCCTGTAAACTAAATGTTCAATATCATTATTTTTCTTGCCTAGATGTAGTCTATATTAACTTAAATCAATATCTTAAATTTAGAACATATATCTTTTCCATAGAAAGGCCAAAATAACCAGCAATCACCTCACTACATTGATAACAATGCTTTTATGTTGATTTGACATTATAGTTTTTTTTTTGTGGTTGATCCTAAATGTTTATTGAAGTGAGTTGACTAAAATATTCTGTGATGGATTAACCATTTTTAAGATGTAACATTTTATAACTAGTTTCCTCTTCTATGTGCCTGTCTTTCATGCTGGTTCTAAGAATCCAAAGTTCTAAAGTTTTCATTAGTTTTCAATGTTTTACTATCCTTTAGAGATTCTCTGTTTTAGTATATTACTGGTTCAATGGCATGTGCATTGCATTAGCCCAAACATGAATTGATTTCCTCACAAAATGGACCATGTCAAGATGCTCTTGTTATTTGTGATAACTTTAAGGCCAGAGTTGGGACCTCATCCTCAACTTGATGATATTATGGGAATGGAAAGGGAGGAATTGACTTCGGGATATAACTTCCCCATTTGTTATTTATTACATTCAAGTGGTTATTATACATTGTAGTTTGGCTTACTATAGATAAGTTTGTATGTTGGTAAAAATGAGTTTTTTTCTGGTTAGTTGGTGTTGTGTCACATAGATGCAAATTATGGCTGAAGATATTTGTGGTTTGCTCGCAGAGAAGGAGAATTTGTGTCTGTATGGATTTCCAAATGAAACTTGGGAAGTTAACCTTCCTGCTGAGGAGGTACCTCCTGAACTTCCTGAGCCAGCATTGGGGATAAATTTTGCTAGGGATGGGATGCAAGAGAAGGATTGGTTATCCCTAGTTGCAGTTCACAGTGATGCATGGTTGCTTGCTGTTGCATTCTATTTTGGAGCACGCTTTGGATTTGACAAGAATGATAGGTACGGTTTGTTGTTTGAGTCATATTGATAATTTTATGCTATTTTCCTTTATACATCTCATTTGTACTTTGCTTTTGAATTTCTATGTTTTGTTAGTAGTATTGTGATTAGATCTCTAACCTTGTAAGTTGTAATTCTAAAGAAGATCAAGGCTTGATGGTTCTAGTCATTAGTCAGGTCTATTGTCAACCTTTGTTTTTCTCTTATAGTTCTTGTTGTTGTAGCAATATTCTCTTTGGACAATTTTTTTGGTGTAAAATTTTGTAATAAGCAAGTGTTAGCTTTCAATATGCTTTCATTTTCATATTTTGGCAATTGATATATCTTTCGCCCCTGTCTATTTCCTGGGTGATGCATGCCAATGCTGATAGATGATGGAAATATTTTAGGAAAGGAAAAAAAGGACCAACTATAGAAACAATACATAGATAAGAGGGAATATGATAAAAAACAGTTAAAGAATAATTTTTAATTAATTTGTCTCCCAAAATAGAGAACCTCAAAATCAGCCTATACTGTGTCTACGATGCCAGGGATCCCAACCTAGAAGGGGCTTGTACCTCCAAATCACTTAAATATCCACAAAGATCCTCTGGGTATTGATTTGAGAGGAGGCTTCTAGTTATTGTAAAGAATAGATGGAGACAGGCTGTTTTTGCTTAGTACCTAAATTGCAGTAAATTATTTGAACATTAATCCTTTTTCGATTGTTATATTTAAACATTTATCCTTTGATGATGATTATGTTCTCCTAATTTGTCTCCCAAAATAGAGAACCTCAAAATCAGCCTATACTGTGTCTACGATGCCAGGGATCCCAACCTAGAAGGGGCTTGTACCTCCAAATCACTTAAATATCCACAAAGATCCTCTGGGTATTGATTTGAGAGGAGGCTTCTAGTTATTGTAAAGAATAGATGGAGACAGGCTGTTTTTGCTTAGTACCTAAATTGCAGTAAATTATTTGAACATTAATCCTTTTTCGATTGTTATATTTAAACATTTATCCTTTGATGATGATTATGTTCTCCTGGCATTTAATTGTTATTGTATATTTAAGGCATGGGCAATGGTTCTTGTGAATATCTTTATTTACCAAAGCATTGAAACTTGGTACAATATGAAACATAATCTCATGGCATGATACTAATCCAGGACAAAGAAGTACTAGTGGTACAACTTTGAAGTTGAGATGGGTTCACTTTATTTTGACTAACAAAGGGGGTGTTTCGGATGGTGGTGTTGTATTTTCATTTGGAGTCCATGTAAGTGCCATGTAGGTGTTTTGACTATATAGTACCAAAATCATGTTTGGTTGGGCAGATTTGAGTTCAAATGTATTTACTGTTCTTTATGTTGGGTTGGGGAGTGCATTTCCTTGGTTGTCTTATGTAGTGCCTGGTGGCTTATGTGTTTAAACTACAATAAGCAATTGTATACTGTTTTATGTGCCAAAAACACTTTGCTTTCCTATTTTTTAAATGTATATTGGTATGATTCAGGTAGTCGAGACTTAAAACACCGCAATGCCAAACACCCACAAAAACCTTTTATGTTTGTAAGGTGGTTGAGAGTGTAAGAGACATGCTTGCTAAGTGGTATTTAGGTGTACTTTCTTGTGTGGGAGCAGCTGCTCCCACATGCTTTTCTTTTATAGTATTGTTTTTGAAACTAAAAGCTAGTTTATGCCATTTGAGGTTAGGATAGTTGATTTTCTAATTCATTTTGTTGAGCTTTCTATGAACCACCACTATCAAAATATTATAGTCCTCTTGCTTCATGCTCTCCACCAATTATCCTTCCCATCTTGAGATCTTGAAAAACACAACAGACATGACAAAATGAGACATAAGGCTGAATGGGGACATAGGAACATATAAAATTGAAGATACGTTAAGATCTGAACTAACATTGTCAGTATCTTAAATCAAGGATGTGGTACCATTGGCCAAGGACAATCTGTGATGTTGGAGGAGAAAAAGAAACAAACATGACTGTTGATCCAGTCATGTGATTTGAAACTCCAGACTCCAGAGTCTATAACCCAATAATTGGACTTCGAATGAGTAGAAAGATAAGCTATACCTGATTTCGCAAGGGCAGTAGTGTTCTGGAAGAAGACGATTGATGAAGTTTCTCACTCTTCTCAAGTATTAGAAATCATCCCCTTTTCATTTCCAAATTCCAATACCTTGATCATCTGTTTGAGTCACATGACTACTAGATTGACCCTTACCAACCGATTTGTCCATGTGGATTGGTTTATGCAAATCATAGCAAAAATTAATAGTATCAAGTCCACATTAAGTGCGTTCATGTGGGATTCCATGTCCATAACCACCTTTACCACGAAAACTTCCAGCATCTCTACCACCGCAATGACCCAAATCAGTATTTTGGAAACTTTCACCATATCCGCCTCTAGGTCCACAACCTACACCTCTTGCATTACCACCTCTGCCATGTCCTCCCTTGCTAGCTCTTTTGGTCACAGCCAAGGCAGACCTTCCAGTTGATGGAATCTCATTATGTATGGTGGAGACTCCCCTAACACGAGAAGAGATTAGAAAGAGAAGGGAGATCGCTACTTCCTAATATTTGAGTATGAATAGGCTCACATTGAGAATTCATGCCAGATAAAAATACCTTCAAATCAGTAGATAGAGGCTGATATACATTCATCTCATTCTTTAGGTTATGAAGGGTGGAAAATTCTGTCTCGGGTCAGCTTACTAAAGCTGATTTCTTTCACAACTTCTTGTTGTATCCTAAAGTTTTCTAATTAATGAAATCTTTTCAGAGTTATTGTTTAAATAAAAAGGTTATGAAGGGTGGAAAAAATACTCTTTAACACTTTTATCACCTTGTTGAAGAAGAATATAACCTTTGTACAGATGACAAATTCTTGTCACATGAGATTGGCTGTACCTAGTTATTGATAAATTGTCTCACATATTCCCAAATTTCATTGGCTGTACCTAGGAACATGAGATTGGCACTAATTTGTGCCTCCATGTTGTCCCATAACCATGTCATAATCTGAGCATTCTCTTGCTCCCATTCATTATAATTGTTAGAGTCAATTTCAGGTTTTGATTCCCTAATATATTTTACCTTACCTTTCCTGGCGAGAAATGCTTCAACTGGTTTTGCCCACAGTACAGTTTTCACTACTCAACTTCACTTAAATCATCTGTCCTTATAACCATCACAAAACCTAGCCCTCTTCGAACTGCCAAGTAAAGGGACTTAACCCAGAATAAAACTTACTCCAACACTGTCCCTATGCATATATTCCTTCAGTTCCCACCTGCAGCAACTCTGAACTTCCTCTTTGATGCACAGAAGAGAAGAAACAAACAGATCAAGATCAATCCTTGGTCTTCAATGGTGCTCTGATACCATGTAATACAACCTGAGATTAATCCTGGAACAAATAAAATAAAGGAGAAAACAGATTAAATAAGTGTAAGAATCATATGAATGCTCTTCATGTGCTCTTGTTGCCTTTGCGAAAAATAAAGTGTCTATGCATATTCAAGCAACGTCACCCCTCTTCTCACCACTTTAAAGCCCTCCAAGAAGCATTTGTCAACCACCTTGTTCACCATTTCTCTGAGAGAGTGAGAGCCTCTGTTTACATATCTTTAGTTTCCTTTTTTAGTACTTATTAATGGAATATCTACAGGTTTCTTTCAGTCTTCTTGAGGTTTGAGGCAAGGGGGTTCATTTTCTCTTTATTATTTGTATCAGTGGTGGTAGTGTTGAGTGCTATGCTGAATTTGAGGGGTTGAAATGGCCATGATAAGTTGTTTCCGTGTGGGCTCAAATTGACCTTCGGTTTCACATCTTTCAGTATATGCTATACTTGTTTTTCTTGAGGCATTGGTGGAGGTGCTAGTGCTGAACCTTAGGGCAATATTGAGGAGATTTGAGTTGTCAGGTTTGAAAGCCAATCTGTCCAAGGGTGTGATGCTCAGAGTTGAATAGATTGGGAATGATCTGCTAAAAAATGTTTTGCCACTTTAGAATGTTGAATTGGATAATTTCGTTTAACTTATTTGGGTTTGCCAATAAGAGTGAAAGCATCGCCAACATCAATGTGGCGAACCTGTTTTGAATAGAATTGATGATAGATCGACAGGGTGGAAAATTAGATAGCTATCACTATTCATCAAAAAAAAAATTAGACAGCTATCACTTGATGCATGATAAATTAATTAGAAGTATTTTGCCTAATGTACCTTTCTATTAACAACTGCAGTAACTTTGGCAGAATTGGTTGAGGTGATTTAAAGGAATTTTTAAATTTTAATGTGCTGGAGATGGAAATGGGAGGAAATATCACTTGGTTAAACGGGGATGGATTTGTAGGCCAAAGAAGTTGGGTAGTTTCAGTGTTTTAAAAGGCATATGCCTCACCTGAACCCAGGTGCAGCCTTTTCGAAAGGAACATGTTTTCAAAAGGAACATGCTTGGTGTGTCTTGTGCATCAGTCCAGGTGTTCACCTTTTTAAAGTTGTCTTTTTTTTTGGATTCTTTTGTGTTTTACACTTTTGCAATGGCTTATCAACTACTTAGTTACCTTTTACTGTTATTGGCACACTAGCATTTCTTTTGATAATTATTATTGGCAAACTAGCATTGCTCTATTAACTTTTAAAAAACAAACACAAAGACCTTTCAAATACTCAAAAGCCTTAGTTCTTGTAAATAGGATCTTAAATGGCCAAGTTTCCACTAAAGGGGCAACAATAGTGCAACTAATATTTGATCCCTGATCCTAAAATGGAATGCTTTATGACTAAAATGACAAAACTAGTATCTTTATATATATGGGTTAAAGATTAAGGTTGAGGGGCCCAGTCCTCAGCATGGACTTGTTTGGGCTTACCTCAAGTGGCTTTTATGGAGATGAAGGGCCAATCTACTAGGATTGTAGTGCAAGACGTTTAACATCACAGCAGCTACTTGAAGTGATGCACCTAGGAGGTAAATAA